AATTATTATTAATTATAGGGCATTCATTCAAGGTTGCTTTTATTATAATACTAATAAATTTTAACAATACTTCGGTTAGGCAATGTTTTAACTAAAACTAATAAAATGTTTAAAATATTTAAGAATTTGACTTTTAGGTAACATTCTTGCCATAATGACGTTACCATTAAAAAAATTGCAATAATTATTAATTCACCTAATTATTTATTAACACTGGATCATATGACTGAATTAGCTTCTCAGTGCAGTCAAGTTCTCCAAAGTCCTGCTAATGACCTCCTTATTTGATTCAGCTGTGAGACGCATCTAAAAGTTGCAGGACTCCGGCCCTCGAGGCCTGGAGTTTGACACCTGTGGGTAGAGGAATGTTGGTTTAAATGCTTTAAGGCCTAAATGTCAGCTGTTTGAATACGACTGCTGTGGCCTAAAGCAGCATCAGGAAATGACATCATGCATTTTCATGCACACTTGTTTTCTTGCCAAAAAAAAACGTTTCTCCGGTTTTTTTTTTATGTGGTTAGAGCAGAAAACCTTTGACTGTAGGGCTGGGCGATATCGCTATATTTTTAAAATATCGAGATAATTTCATACACGATATAAGATGGGACTATATCGTCTATATCAATATTTCTACGTTGAGTTATAATTAGACTTGAAAATCTGTGCAGATCTTCGTCTCCTGTTGGTGCCAACTTGACGCGGCCCCTCCTTCTCCCTCACTGAATACAAACCCAGCCCCTCAGCTGGCACCCTTCCCCAGCTTCCTGCTTCTCCCGGTGGGCAGGAAGTTTAGCACAAGTATAATGTAGCAGCTAGCATCTCATCATATTGCTAAAGACACGGTCCCAGTCTCAACTGCGGAACAAGACGGCTGAAGTTAGTCATCTAGTTAGCTGCTAAGGACCGTGTCTTTAGGACATTTAAAAACTGGCCTGCTACAAGTGAGTAAACAACATGGACAATTCTTAAGAGACACCTTTAATTCTTTTTTGTTTTAAAATGATAACTTTAAGCAGTGTTGAGGAAAAACTCCAGTAATGTGTGTACTGATTACCTTATTGGCAGTTTTCAGCAGCTCCACCAGTTCCCAGAAGCTTATCAGAGCTCTCTTATCCACTCTTTCCATGTAAACTCTAAAATGTTCCCTGTAACCTGGATTAGACAGAATGTCCTCAAACTGAAGGATCTGAGCGACAGAAGGAGAAAACAAAATATATTCTGAACAAAAGTATAAAAGCAACACTTTGGTTTTTGTTCACGCTTTTCATGAGCTGAACTCAAAGATCTAAGACAAGAAGTTCTTCTATGAACACAAAAGAAACTGGAAGAAATGGTCTGAGACCAGCCACCCAGACAGCTGCTGCAACAATCAGTTTGAATAACCAAAGAAGTCCTGCACAAACTGTCAGAACTGTCTCATGGAAGCCAATCTTCATGCTCATCGGCCTGATCGGGGTCTCCACCTGACTGCAGGTCATCATCATAACTGACTTGAGTGAATAAATTCTCTCATTCGATGGTGTATGGCACGTTGGAGAGATGCTCTCTTCATGGATGAGTCCTGGTTTTCACTGTACAGGGCAGATGGCAGATGATGTGTGGGTGAGCAGTTTGCTGATATCAACATGGTGGTGTGGGGGTGGGGGGGTTATGGTGTGTTCAGGTGTATGTTATGGACAACAAACATAGGGGCTGGTGTGGTTACACGAGATCTGTGTTTTGAGGCCGGCTGGATGTTGTCTTCATCTCGGTGGTAGCAACTAACAGCCCTTCGTCAAAAAGGGGTAATTGGACCTAGAGTTGCATTTGGGCCTTAAAAATCCAGCCCGACCCAGCCTCAGCTCAACTGAACTTTTTTTTTTAATCTCTTTCAAGGTCAGTCAGTGCGTGGTCAAAGGCCGTGTGTGGCTGGTGAATGTATGGCAAGCCATGCTGCCATATAATTGGATCATCACCCGCACGCATCTGCTGACGTAATCAAAAGTCCGACACCGGCCCGGCCCGCACATTATTATGGCCGGCCCTAATCTGGGACGGCTCGGGTTAGAAATGACAGCTTTAATTGGACCTCTCTAGACGATGTACTGCTAAATTCTCTGAACATGAACATTCCTGCAGTCAGCAGCCAACTGCTGCTCCCTGCAACATCTGTGTCATTGTGCTGTGTGACAACACTGCACATTTTAGAGTGACCTTTTATTGTGGTCAGCCTAAAGCCCACCTGTGCAGTCATCATGCTGTCTAATCAGCATCTTGATATGCCACACCTGTGAGGTGGATAGATTATCTCAGCAAAGAAGTGCTCACTAACACAGATTTAAACTAATTTATGAATAATATTTGAGAGAAAAAGATGGTTTGTGTTAAAATCTCAGACTTTTGAGTTCAGCTCGTGAAAAATGGCAACAAAAACAAAAGTGTTGTGTTTATATTTCTGTTCAGTGTAAATCATAAATCATGTCCAAGGCACTGATCTTTGGTTTGATTCGAGGTATGTCGAACTGAATTTTCATCATTTACCACAAGACTTTCCAGACAATTCTTCCTCCAAACTAAACATGACAGTGGTTGCAAGGAGTGTTACCTTCTGACTCTGAGGCTCTTCGCCATCATCGGCTCCTCCCTCCTCATTGTTTTCATAGTTTGGTCCTCCCAGCAGACAGATCCTTTTCTCACATTGTTTCTTAGCAACAGTGAGCTGATTGATGTATCGTTTCATGTCTCTGGCCCTGAGCAGGTCTGCCTTCATGGCCGCAGACTCTTTACCTTTTCGCTCTGAAAGAGAGGGAACACCTGTAAGGTCAGCTCAGGCAAACTAACTCCACTATCCAGAACAAGATGCTGCAGATCGCTGATCAGGTGTGCAAACACTCAAGGAGGCTGGCATGTTGTAACTTATGAAGATTACTTTACAGTCAAGGATAAAAGTATTTAATATGCTGATGATTTTAAGTTTGACCAAAAATACCCATCTATAATTTAGGAGGTTTAGTTTTAATCGTTCTTTTCGTCTTCTTTCAGCTGCTCCCTTCTTCAGGGGTCGTCACAGTGAACTAACTCACATGAACACTTAACGATTGGTTTTACGCTGGATGTCCTTCCTGACACAACCACAGACCACCGAGCTACCACAGCCCTCTGTGAGGAGCAGAGAGCTGCTATCTAGGGCGCCCGGGGGAGCAGATGGTGGGGTTAAGCGCCTTGCTCAAGGGCCCAGAGTGGAGCAAATGAGGGTGGAGACAGGTGTGGGTGTTTCACCTTTCCCACCCAAGTTTTGATGTTGTCAGTCTGGGGAGGTGAACTGGTGACCGTACGATCACAGGCCTCTAACCTCTGTGCCACCACTCCCCCATGGTTTGAATAAAGAGCGTTAAAATATGACTGTTTTTCTTTCAGCTGATTCTGTCTGCAGGAGGCCACATCAAGAAGATCTGCATGAAAGATTTGTTAACTCTTTTACTCTGATGTCCTTCTTGACACAACCTGAGCTGGAAACTTCAGCGTCAGGAGTACGAGGTTGCTGCACTAACCACCAAGCTACCACAACCACATGTTTTTGTCAGTAAATGAAATAAGAAATTGATCCTCTACAACCCAGCCTGACTTCTCGCTCCCAGATTGATTATGTGCCCGTGTGTAATTGCTCTTTGGGCTCTTAAAAAAAGCTGCCTACTGCTCCTCTTGGATGTTCCTCGTGTGAGATGGGTCAAATAAAAAAATAAATGTATGACAATATACAATGGTGACAACACACAGCACTTAAAATATTAATAAACATAAATACGCACACTTGATGCACCAACTTAGAAAAGCTGAGAAGTACTCAAAGAACACAAATAAACACAGAAGTGGAAACCCAACGGTACGGGGAAGTTCTGTGTTAAGAGTACAGGACAACTTCACTGCGTTAAGAGACCAAAAGACAAGAAGATGTAGCGTAAAGACTTGAAGAAAAAACATTTTCATCCAGTCAAGACATTGAAGATGAGTCATGACTTTATTATCCCAAAGGAAATGGGGACTAGGTGGTCTTGCATGACAATCACTGAGGTAACAAAGGAGCAGCTAAAGAAGAAGCAGGCTCAGATTGTGGATTAGCCAGTCTCTATTCAATTCAGTTCATTTATAAAGCACCAAGTCACAACAGAAGTCGTCTCAGGGCACTGAACAGAAACATTCATATATAAATACAACAATTTAACACTATTTATCTGAGGAGCAGATTTTTTTTATTTAACTCCATCGCAGAACTCTCATCTTGAGCAAGAATGAAGGCGACAGTGGAAAAGAAAAACTCCCTCATGAGGAAGAAACCTTTAGCAGAACCAGACTCGGAACAAGTCGCCATCTGCTTAGACCGGCTGGGTTTGGTAGGAACAGATACACAATGGCAGGTCAAGAAACACATGTTAAGATGGAAATAGTATCAAATGAAAAATATTCAATTTTAACAATTCATTTAAGGAAATGAGGTCAATTTGTCTTCTAGTAGTCTAAACCTATAGCAGCATAACAAGTCAACCCTAACTATAGGATTTATCAAAAAGAATAGTCTTAATCCCAGTCTTAAAACTGGACAATGTGTCAGCCTCATGGACAGAAACTGGAAGTTGGTTCCACAAGAGAGGAGCCTGATAACTAAAAGATCCCCCCCCCCCCCCCTTCTGCTCTTGGAAACTCTAAGAATCACAAGTGAGCCTGCAGTCTGAGAGTGAAGTGCTCTGTTAGGAACATATGGAACAATAAGATCTCAAATACAAGATGGAGCTAAGGTGTTGAGAGCTTTGTAGGTTAGAAGTAAGATTTTGAATTAAATTCTGAATTTGACATGGAGCCAATGAGAGAAGCTCCATTAGCTCCAGACCTCAGTCTTTGTGGAGGGAGCAGCAGCTTCGAGCTGCCAAGCAGAGTAGAATTTCTGTTAATGGGCAAAACTTTCCTCCCGAGATATGAGCAAACCAGGTGATTAACTGTAGAAATGTCTTACTGCTGTGCTGCCAGTAAAGCTTTCTCCACTAAGTACCAAGCTATGTTTTCCTTGGCAAATCAATTTTAATCGGGTAGTTTTTATTTAGATGACCTTTAGTCTACATCCATTAAAATAAAACTACTATAATAAACTGAGACAGCTCATTTATACTGTATGTAATTGAACAATCTTACAAAACCAGCAGGAACAAACATGTATTGACCTTCCTGTGTATTTGTGAATTCATTTACTGGACAGTTAGTTCACTTTTCACTAGTATGACAAAAAAATAATCCAAAAACAATTTTTAACTGGTATCTCTCGATTTTCTCAGTGTTTAGTTCACAAATGAGGGAAGGATGGAGTGTGAGCTTGACAGGTGGATTGGTGCAGTGTCTGCAGTATTGCGGACTCTGTACTGGTCCGTTGTGGTGAAGAGAGAGCTGAGCTGTAGGGCAAAGCTCTCTGTTTACCGGTCGGTCTACGTTCCTACCCTCACCTATGGTAAGGATGCCCCCTGGGCGCCTCCCTAGGGAGGTGCTTCAGGTATGTCTGACTGGGAAGAGACCCCGGGGAATACCTAGGACATGCTGGAGATACTACTGTGTTTTCCACCCTATAAGTTGCATCAATCCAATTATGTCTAATAAAGTGCAACAATCCATAAATACATCGCTTCGCCGTATACGTCACATCTATTACGAGTCACCGCTGACACGTTGCGTTTGTTACGCGTCACCTCTGACAACCTGGAAATGTGGGCCGGTGTTGTGCCAAAAATCTATTGGCTGCCAAATGGCCGCAGAAGCATGCACAGGAGGAATTTAACAAGAATTTAACGAGATTAACACTTAAAACAATTATTTGTTTGCTCAAAATTATAGTAAAGGTGTGTCTCAGTCTAACTTTTCCTTAATAAATGCCATTTGACAGTCAAATCAGCTGCATTTTCAAAATTATTCGCTGCCTTGGTGCTCCCGGGAGCAAGCAAAAGGAGGAAATCAGGAAGGAGGAACGCTGCGCATTTCATCAAAATTTAACAAGATAAGCACCTAAAACAATTTGTTTGCTCAACATTATAGTAAAGGTGTGTCTCAGTTGAACTTTTACTTAACAAATGCACTTCAATGGTCAAATCAGCTTCATTTCGCCGTGGCGGTGCAGCGAAATGAAGCTGATTTGATGGTTGCTCCAGGCGAGATGGACAAACATGGCACCATGGTAAGCTGATTGTGTCATTATTAGCCACTTTTATCTATTACATGACACAACGGCATGCCATTTTACTCTGCTGCCATCTAGCAGCTGAAAATGGTAGTGTTCAATATTTTCAGTTAGAATGAATGAAAACGATCATATCTCAGCCAAAAATGCATGCACGAATGAACGGCTTGTTTCTTTATCTCCACGACTGGACTTGTCTTTATCAAAGAACTCCGAGGATGGAGCTGTGTGTGGAATATCAGCTGCTAAGTTTACGTTTGTTAACGTTACTGTAGCTTAATACGTGCATCACGGTGAATTGAACTAGAATCCATGTAACGCCAACTTTAAGGTATTAGTGTGTAAATTTATTTTATGGCTATCTATGTAGCTAGCTAAACTCAGAAGCCAACTAAAGATTGACAGTAACAGATGAAGCTTAGCTTGAAAAAATGTGCTCATCCATCCAGTCAGCTGCTTAAACAGTTCACTAATGTTCACTGTTTATGTTAATGTTCTCCTCACAGGAGGTTCTGACCCTTATGTGAGGAGGACAGACAAAAGAAAAGTGAAGTGGGGGGACCACAGGACAGTCACAAACTTTGTTGTTAAAAGTTTGCTGCTTTTAACTACAGCGGAGGCTGCATGCAGCATGTTCGAGGCAAGTAAACTTTAAAGGATGTTGTTGATCAGTTAAGCTTTTATTTCTCAGCCTATATAATGTTTTTTGAGCAATAATAACACAGCCATGTTATTATTGATGTTTTGTGTTCTAAAGTCAATTAGGGAGATGATCAGAGCCCTAAACCCCAGAGAATCACAGAGAAGGTTCAGGAAGAGACACAGAGGTGCTGAAGTCTGCCATCAACCCTAACCTCAGTGATTCCAGTGACCTGCTGGTGGAATGTGAGGGACAATATGTCAGTGCTATCAAACTGACAACCAGGTATCTGGGTGTGCAACAATCATCATCTACAGCCTCAGAGTGAACATTTTCTACTGCTGGAGACACCATCAGCCAGGAGTGAGCTTGTTTGTGTCCAGAGAAAGCAGACATGTTGATGTTTCTGAAGAGAAACTGTGAAGTGAAAAGGTCCTCAGTGTGTAGCAGTGAACATTAGACACTGACGTGTCACTGGTTTGCAACTGGTATTTTGACCTGAAAATGATTTGTTTATTTTTATGTAAGAAAACTGCTTGGAATAGAAAAATACCTAAGTTAAAAAATAAAACTCACGATTTGTACTGTAATGTGTAACATAATTTTCTTTTTGTTAGAATTAATAGTAATTACAAAATTGGTACCGAAAAAAGAATCGTCCAAGAACCGACACCGAAGTGAAGGTACCGACACCGACACCGGTACCGATACCGATTTTTTTTTAGAAAGGTACCCAGCCCTAGTCCTCCCAAAACAGCCATAAGAGGTGGCTGTGGAAAGAACTGTCTGGGCCTCCATGCTCAAGCTGCTGCCCCCGAGACGCGACTTCAGAATAAGCGGAAGATGATGGATGGATCTCTCAATTGAGTCTCTGTAGGACGGCTAGATGCTTCAGAACACAATTATAATATTATATATAGACCCTTTCCAAAAAATTAGAATATCATGGAAAAGTTGTTTAACTTCCATAATTCCATTTAAAAAGTTAATCTTTAATGTATGATAGATTCAGGGCCCACAATTTAAACAATTTCAAGTATTTATTTGTTTATTTTTACATAATTTGGGCTTCCAGCTCATGAAACACACAAAAACAGGATTAAAAAAATTAGTATACTGTGGAGACATCAGACCACACTACTCAGTTTTTGCAGAAAAAAAAAGGAAATTAGGATCACAACAAATCAATCAAAATATGGTACTTTCAAAACAATATGTCAATCTTTAATACTTGGTTGAGAATCCCTTTGCCTTAATCTCTGCCTCGATGCAACGTGGCATTGAGGCAATCAGCCTGTAGCATTGACTGGGAGTTATGGAAGCCCAGATTTCCTTGATGCTGTCAGCTCTTCTTTGTTGTTGGTCTGGTGTCCTTCATTTTCCTCTTGAGAATACCTCATAGATTCTCAATGGGGTTTAGGTCCAGCGAGTTGGCTGGCCAGTCAAGCACTGTGGCATGGGCATCAAACCAGGTTTGGTGCTTCTGGCGTCATGGGCAGGGGCCTTGTCCTGCTGGAAGATGAAATCTACATCTCCATACAGATCTTCAGCCGAAGGAATCATGGTCCTCTAAAACATTCTGGTAGACTGTTGCAGTGACCGTGGATTTAAGAAAGTAGAGTTTACCAACACCTGCACTGGACAATGCACCTTAGATCATGACTGACTGGATATTTCACACTGGACCTCAAGCAGTATGGGTTCTGTTCCTCACCCTTCTTCCTCCAAACCCTTAGACCTTGATTTCTGAATGAAAGGCACACTTTAATTTAATCAGAAAAGAGGACCGAGGAACCCGACAGTTGTCGCCCATCTCCCGAATGCATCTGAATGTGGTGGTTTTTGAAGCTGTGACTCGCGCCTCATTCCACTCTTTCTGGATCTCTGCCAGATTCTGGAATCTTCTCTGTTTGATAATCCGCTGAAGCCCACGGTCATCTCTTTAGCTGGTGCATCTTCTCCTGCCACATTTTGCCCTTCTACTAGACTTTCCATTGATATGCTTGGACACAGCACTCTGTGAACAGCCAGCCTCCTTAGCTATGAACTTTTGTGGCTTACCCATCCTATGGAGGATATTAACGATGGTCTTCTGGCCAGTTGTAATGTCTGCAGTCTTCCCCATAATGACACCTGGGGAAACCTGTGCAGGTGCTTTGAGTTTAGTAGATGATTAGTGTGTCACACTCAGTTTAAAACTTTCATGCCCTGCAAAATTTGGGCTGATTTCTCCACAGTATTCTAATTTTTTTTATCCTTTTTTCATAGGTTTCATGAGCTGGAAGACCAAATTATGTAAATATAAACTAATAAATACTTGAAATTGTTTAAATTGTGGGCCCTGAATCTATCATCTATTAAAGATTAACTTTTTGAATGGAATTATGAAAGTCAAACATCTTTTCCATGATGTTCTAATTTTTTTAGATAGTGTCTGTATATATATCATAAACAAACTATTATTCAGGAATTATAGCAATGGCCTGGACAGGCAAAGACCTTGTATTACATTTGAAACATTGTTGACTTTACCTTTCTGCTTCTTGAGCTGAGGCAGACTGCTGATGGTGGTGGCATGAATAATTTCTACCACTATCTGATACCTGGAAAGATGCGTAGAGAGAAAAATAACAAAGGTAATCATTATGGGCAATCTATCAGCCTACTGAAGAAAATAAAACTCAAAAATACAATAAGAAAATGCACAAATCACTGTGTTGAATATTATGAAAATACAAGTATTCTTGTCTTCAGAATTATTAAAATGTGTCCGAGATAATATAGCAGTATAATATCATACCCCTTCCCCCAAATAGATAGAGCATTTTTCTGCAAAGCTGTTCCCATAGTAACCCCATAACAACCAAACTAATCTTTGTGGTCACCAGTGTGGTGAGAAGTCTGTGATCAGTCTACACACAGCGTGGTGGTGCAGGTACAGCCTGTTCTCAGTTTAATGAGGCCATGTGGGGGTGTGCTGCCATGCCTGAGTTGTTTGAGGAAATTGACATCAGAAGAAGTTGATATCAGTTTGATGAATTCTTCGTAAGAGGCAGCGTAGGTGTAGGCTTTTTTCTGTTGCTCAGCCTGCTGCTCCCTCTGCTCCAGCTGAGACAGCAACATCCTGTTGATGGAGTCTGGATCGCTGAGCACCTCCACCAAAGGCTTCAACACTGAAGCACAAACACACAACACAATTTATTGATCCGAAAAAACTAGTTCATGTCAATGAAAGTAGTTATGATCACTGGATACTAATGTGAAGAAGAAAAAAAAGACCATATAAAAACTTTCTCAAGGCAGCAAGACTTCAGAAGACTACTGTAATCAAATTATGAAATGATTTTGAAAATAATGAATGTACACGTTATTTATTGACCAGGTAAGGAACATTTATTTAGATGCAATTAAAGTCCTGAAAAGGATCAAATTGAGAGCATTGTGGTTCTAGAGATAACAGAGTAAATACATATAAAGCAATGCATTCAATATAAAGTCAATAATAAAGATTAAAAGGCCTTTTTCTAACATATGCATATCATATAGCATACAGCCAATTACTCAGTGTTTTCCACACTTTTTGAAACCTCAAAAGTAAAAGCAGAAAATGTAAAATTTTGTGTTTTTAAGACTTGGTAGGAACTCTAAGCTATGATTCTATTGTTTATAAAGTTAACACCAAACATTCATTATTATACAAAAGTTTGCAGCTTCAGATACAGAATGACATTCTGCGTAAACAGTGGAAATGAAACAAGACGTTTGATTACCGGTGTTACCTTGGTTCACTGAAAACTACAGCATGTCACCTTCAGGTGTGACCAATCGTGGGCAGGGCGATCCTAGCCTGTTTGGTGCCCTGGGCAAACAACCGCTCTGGTGCCCCAATTACCCCGAGCCTGCATCACCCATCTCTCCCCCACACGACCCTCAAGGACGTGGACACGCTCCGCCGTGACATATGTAAATGACCGTGTACCATCACAAACACTCAAAATGTCTGAATATTTTATTAAAAAAACATAAAATTGAAGAAACTAGAATAATAAACAGAGTAAGACATGAATACTGTACTCCATGAATTTAAAAGTATAGAATACAAATAAAAAATTAAATAATGTAGAAAAATAAACACAATTAAAATAAGGCATTTCTGAAATGCACAAATAAAAGAACACTTAATAAAATCTGTTCAACAATTACACTTTGATCAAGACACAATTTTCACTGCACAACTGTCAAGAAAGGTCTGAACCTTTTCTGAATAAGACAGTTTACACTATAACGCTTCAAGAAGCCCAAAGGAAACTACACAACTGTCATCTTGCACTAAGTGAATCTACACTATTACTTTTCAAAGAATAAAGATTAAACTGTACAACAACTGACTGAACACTTGTTCCAACTTTAGCTAAATGTTTCGGCATCACATGTCTGGGACAGACAGGTTGAGCTGTGCTCAGGGCTCCGCCCCCATCATAATACCACCGTCAACCGACCACTTATGCTCCCAGTATACTCCCACGTACGTCAATACGCAGAGGTACACACGTACGTACACGGAGGTACAAGCGTACCCCCCAGGGCATGTCTGTGCAAAGCTCAATTTTTACGACCGCGTACACGGTGTCGCACAATAAACTGTCCAGCAAAGGACTGTTTTGTATGCGACACCAATGTATTAAATTCCCCTTCTTCATCCCTGATCTGGCCTTTTCTTTTGTTTTTTTCCCAAGAGGCAGTGATCTCTTCCTCCTCTGTTGACTCCATGACTGAAATAGTGAGAAATGAAGGAATTTGTCACAAGCAAATTAAACTCAGGTCCAGCGTGGCTGCGGGAGGGTCTGGAGATTTCCTGGTGGGCTGGTTTGATGTGTGGGCTGCAGGGCCAGCGCTCCCTGTTTTTTTTTTTTTTTTTTAGATCTTTTTATTAACAACATATAAACACTGAACACTGCTGCGGCTGAGGCTGCCAGCGCTCGTTTTTTTCTTTTTTCTGACCTGTCAATCAATCCAGTAGGCGTGTCAGCAAATGACCAATTGGCTCAATTTGTCCCGAAGGTAAACGCCCCTTTTCTGTGAAGCTGCTCTGCAGCTGCTCAGGGTGTACGCTGGAGTACGAAGTCTGAACCCTCTGCATATAGTACACGCGTACGTACGCATGAACGGACGTACGCAGGAGTATACTGGGGGCTTTATTCTCGCTTTCTTCCTGTGAGAAACTACAACTAGCTCCCTCAGCACATTCAGGCTAGCTAGGCTAGCTGCTGAACAGTTCCCAGATGTCCCGTAAAGGAGCACTTTGCCGAACGCAGTTCCCGGCTTCAGCTTGAATCGTGCTGAGTAAGTTGGTGCTTCGTGAGAAGTATCTTTGTTACATTCAGGAGCGGTGACCAAGGCAAGGCGAGCTGTTCCTGCTGCCGCTCGGTTTTAAGGAACTGAGCGGTTGCAGGTGTAACGCAAGCTAATGCTTCAAGGCAGGCTAGCATTCCTTCACAGTAGCATTAGCTTGGTACCTTTAAGTTTGTTTCCAGCGGTCACTCATTCAGGGATGAAGATTTTCACATCCTTGACAGAGAGGAACGATGGTTTGAGAGAGGAGTAAAGGAAGCCATCTTTGTGAAAAGAAACCGTCCATCATTAAACAGGGGTGGAGGCCTCCGTGTTCAACTGTCCCCCTCTTACAATGCTGTTATTGCTAGTATCACTCAGCCCTCTGTGAATGGCAAGCGGACATTAGAGCACTAACAAATCAGTCATTAGGTTGATGGTCCTCCTTGATCATGTGAACAGCTAGTTCTGGATGTCACCAACAAACTGGTTGATCCACGAGAATGTGCTATTTATAAGTCTGAGTTTGTTGCAGTTCCTTAGACTGAAGAAGTCTTTTAGATAAAAGAAGAAACATTTCAACTATATATATATATATATATATAT